AAACCCTAAACCCTATAAATCCCCCCCCCCAAGACCCCGCAAAGCCCCAGAACTCATCCTTCTAGGTGTCGGGGCTCAGGATCCATGGGCCGTAAACCCTAAACCCTAGACCCTAAACCCTAAACCCTAAATCCTAAACCCTAAATCCTGAACCCTAAATCCTGAACCCTAAATCCTGAACCCTAAATCCTAAACCCTTCAATTCTCTTTGCTTTTCTTCCTTTGGCATCCCAGGTTTTGGGGCTCAGGACCCAGGGTGCTCGCCTCGGAGAACGGTCTAGCGAAGTCCAGAAGAACCTGAATGCTGTGGAGGAGCTCCACAGGCGGGGGGTTTAGGGCTTAGGGTTTAGGGTGTAGGGTTTAGGGTTTAGGGCTTAGGGTTTAGGGTGTAGGGCTCAGGGTTTAGGGTGCAGGGTTTAGGGTTTTTGGGTAGGAGGGGAGTCAAGCCCACACACAGACCAAAGCCAAGTCTCCTTTCTTACTCGTGGTAGTATGATACATGGCATTACCCCTAAACCCAAAAACCCTAAGCCCTAAACCCTAATCCCTAAAGTTCCAATACCCCTAAACCCAAAACCATAAGCCCTAAACCCTAATCCCTAAAGTTCCAATACCCCTAAACCCTAAACCCTAAGCCCTAAACCCTAAACCCTAAACCGCGTGGCACCTAAGAGCAGCTCGCTCCCCAGGTATCGTGCGTTCAACGAAACCGGCATACGCCTCCTCTTGCAGGGTGAAGACTTGCCTCTCCTTGAGCCCTTCAGTCTTTCAGAAGTGCCCGGGAAAGGCAAGAAACTGGGTTGCCGTCAAGGGATTGAAGTTAAGTTACTATACTAAGGAAACCCTATTATTTTATGTATACCCATAATCTGGTAACTTATTTAAAGTTCCTGAACAGTAGCCGAGGAAAGACCAGGATGTCCAGCTTCCCGTGAAGTGGCGATCGAAGCTGCAAATCACGAAATGGCTAGGTGCTGGCACCTTCGGAAAGGTATTTAAGTGCAAAGTTCTTTGCGAGACGCATAGAGATTTGTACGTCTCGGTGAAGTACATCGAGGAGAAGAGCAAGCTTGTCAGGACGGAGATTGGGGTCCTTGATGCGATGAAGGGGTATTCCGACTTCTGCATTTCAGCAATTGGATCACCGTCACACATTGAGGACCCTCACGGCTTCTGGATCATGATGCCATACATGAACCACGGGGACCTCCACGACTTCCTCAAACAGTGCCACACGCATCGTGCATGCTTGAACGCCGGAAGTCGCGAAGGCAGAAGAGATTTCACCAAAGTTGATCCTGCCTTCACGGATGCCTACATCCTTGTCCTTTTTCATGACATTGTGGTGGGCACCGAGGCGCTTCACACCAAAACGGGAAGGATCCACACCGAACTTTGGCGCGATTACGAGTATCCTGTATGCTTGGATAAAAGCCCTATGTGAGCTATAGCCTAAACTTCTTACAGGGGGTTATATAGGGGAGTATGATAGGGGTGATTAGGGGGATACTAGGAGTTTAGACTATAGCTCATGTGAAGATTCTGAGAGATGCATGTAAACAAACTCCTCAACCAACCACAGCACCTGATTTGCAAGGCGCGAAAACTTGATTTTCGGCCGCGCACGCTTCATGCGGTCTTGCTGTGGTGTCAAAATCCACGGGCCACACGGCAAGTCATCGACGGGCCGCGAAGCACATTGTACAGTGAAAGAACACCCAGTCCGTAACAAATTCACACCTCTGAAATTACTGGAGCCGACATCAAATTAAACATTGAATTAATATGTTACAGGTCAGGCCGAAATGCCGCGCATGCTTCAAGAATCAGGGTGACCATTACCCAATCATAATTGAAATCATTAGAATGCAAGTATATGCCCCGGATTCCCCCATGTGGTGATACATGGGTTATGCATACTTTGAGCTTCCAAGTATGGCCCCTAATCCCTACACTAAATGCCTAAACCCCCAAACCCTGAAACCTAAATCCCTAATCCCCAAGCTCCTCAACCCTCAATCCCTAATCCCTGCCCTCAACCCTAAACCCTAATTCCTAAGCTCCTAAACCCGAAATCCCTAATCCTTAATTCCTAATCCCTAAGCCCGTAAACCCTAGACCCCAAATCCCAAATCCCCAAATCCCCAAATCCCTAAATCCTTAAACCCTCATCCCGTCAAGGACTTGAAGCCGGCGAACGTTATGGTGAACTGCCAGCAGGAAAATGGGTTCCCCTACTACTCCCCCCTATATTCGGGTCTTTGGGGTTTGGGGTTTTGGGTTTTAGGGTATACTGCACCCCCCCAAGGTTCCCTTTAATTAAACGTGATTGCCTAACTATCCTTAAATAATTGGTAATTGCTTGAAGCAGAGATGACCATGGAACGAGCGAAGGCACTCTTTTTACTACAACGCGCACACACACAAGAGGTGTAAGTCCCATAAATTCTAAAGCTGTACACTAGTACTTAACTCACTGTACAATCTCACTACACTACCACTGTCTAGAGTTGGAGGCTTACAAGCTACTTGCCCTAAGACTTGAAATCAGCTGCGGGGTAAGCACGTGCCTGCATTGTGTCTTCATGACATGCACAGCACTTTTATGCACAAGCACTCGCCCCGGTCTGCAAATTGCAGACCGCACACAGGCGGCTTTGCTAGAGCCCTTTGCTGGAGGCCTTTGGAGGCCTCTTGGAGGGCCCTGAAGGCCCCTGGTCATTTTCCGGTGCAATAACCAAAACCACCAAATCTGATTGGGTCCAGCTGGGCTTCTTCGAGCGGTGCCTTGAGTCACATCATTCTGGATCTCTTCAAACCTTTTTGGGCCGGCGCTGGAACCAAAACTGCGCCCTTTTTGAGCCCAGGAAACCCTTTTCGGGTGGTGCTTTAACCTAAAGTGACTTTCCTGGCTTTGGCTGCTCCCATCACGAACTAGCATACCCTGAACCCCCACTTGAGACATTAAAAACGGGTTATTGAAAGGCTGTTGGGAGATTTCTGAAGCAGGCAGGTGGCGAGCGAAGGAAAGGTAAACATGTTAAATGAAACGGGATTCTGGGAGGGTGGGGTGATACCACGTACGTATAATGATGAAAGCAGCCTTGCTAACTTCCAGCTTTAGCTAATTGTTAATCCTAAGCCCTAAACCCTAAACCTGAATGTAGTAGGGGAACCCTTGACAGGATCATGGGGGCACCAAGTGCTTTGCAGCCGTCATTGACCTGGGCCTTGCATGTACGATGAAGGTGGGTTTAGGGTTTAGGGGATTTAGGGTGTAGGGATGTAGGGTTTAGGGTTAAAGGGGGATATATGGGGGTTAGATTGGGTAAAGGTTCTTTAGGGCTTTATTTGGGCTGGCTTCTATCGTTAATGGAAAATGAAATGGAAATTGCTATTTAGGGCTTAGGGTGTAAGATTTAGGGTTTAGGGTTTAAGGTTCAGAGGTTGGCCAGCCCAGGTTGAATCCAGGTAACGCTTTTTAAACGTCATGTATATTAGGGTGCTATATGAGGGTCAGGGCTTTTGGGGTTTGTGGGGGTATTGTTTAGGGTTTTAGGGCTTGAGGGTTTCGGGATGTGGTTTTTTTGGGGTTTGAAGGGTTTTGGGTTGAGGGCTGAGGGTTTATGGTTTAGGGTTTGGGATTGAGGGTGTAGGGTTTCTATGGCCCCAAGATACTCCAATCCTCAGAGTCGATTTTCGGGGCAATCCCTCAGGTGAACGGTTGCCATGTCGGCGGTACGCCGGTGTATCTGGGTTGCCGTTATGGAAGTTTCATTAAAATTCATCTAATGGGGATTAAGTAAGGGATATATTGGGGTTATATAGAGTTCGAGTATAATAGGGAAACCTAATAGTCTTTTATATTTTCAGAATATGGTAACATAGGTCAATCCCCACTGCAGTAATGGTGCCTAAGCATGGAGTTAATACAGTAGCTTGAGTTGTAAAACATCAACCCTCTGTTGCATTTTACCTACCGTTCTCACTAGGAGTTTGTAGCGTAGAGGACAGGGCGGACCTGACATGTTTGGCTCAAGGAAAAAGTAGCACTGTCCGTTG